GGGGGCGGGGTTAGGTGTTGGTTTTCTTTTATGACATCTTGGGGTGTTGGTTATTATTTTTTACTAATTTGTAAGAGCTCTTATATAGTAAATTCATTCTAGATGTCTTTCCTAGTTCATTTGTAGTTTAATTTTGTTTTTTTAAATATATGGGCAGATTGATGAATTTTTCCTCATTTCATTTTCTCTTAGTTTTCGACTAAGAAATGCCTTCCTGAGTGTATAATTAGGCTACTTGATCTGAAAGTAATCTAAATGATAGGGCTACTTGAAGTCTTCTAAATTATGCAGGTAATTCAGGTCAGGTCATCTTGATAAATCTGGTCTTGTATGAAAATAACTGTATTCAGGATTTTTTTAAAAAACACCCACATCTCAAGAAGTTAATTACAGGTTATGAACATAAGATGTGAGTTTGAGTACTTAATACTTTTTGATGTGTGTGTTGCAGAGTTTTCTGTGGGCTTTCCAATTTAATAACTTTATCAGTTTCCACATTTTCCTTTGCCAAAATTCTCTTTCAGTCATTTATATGAATACCTCATTTGGTTGAGAATTCCTCATTGCCCAAGTCCACGTTCATTTAGAAGCCAACCCATTTAATAAAGATATTCCTTTAGACTGAAGTTTATGTCTAGTGTAATAGTTGAATTTTCTATGCAATGATACAGGCAAAAATAGATCTCTTTAAGGAAAAAGGCAAGTGACTCAGAGGTTGTAAGCAAAATAAGATGTAGTTGAAGGAAGAAAAAAGTCCTTTGTTACTCCCTCCCCACACGCCCCCAACACATAATTCCATTCTCAGAGGGGGGAATGTTCCCATTTCTGTCTGCATTCAAACTTCTCAATTCCTATGCACTAGCAATTTAAAAACCAAGGTTGTATAGTACCTTCTTTCTTTGGAAAGCAGGCAAGTGCGCAAGTTAGAGGTTTGATTGGATCGTGCTGTGTAGATAAACTTGGTGAAGTTTAGAGTTGGTTTGTTTTGATTGTGCAGGGAGCAGGATATATCTTCCTAAACTTTCAGCACCCCAACTTTACAATAAGTGTCGGGGAGCCCACCCTTCTCTAACGATACATGAGTTACAAATAAAGCCTACTAGTAGCTGATGTATGTGAACATTCCACATTACAGTGAAATATGTTGCTGTGTTGGTGCATTTTAATGAGAATGAGGTTACTATTTTGACACCTTACCAAATTGGAACAGTCGTACAGATCTTCCATCCTGTAATACAATGTATCTGTTAGATCAGGAAGACCTAGTTAAATACTATGCTTTAACTGCAGTTCTTAACCTAAACCAATGTTGGAAATGTGGTTTAGAGGCTAGAAAGTTAGGATTAAGGAGTGATGGATGGGGGTCGGTACAATTTCATCCCTACTGGTGGTTAAACATTTAGTATGTTATTTTAAAAAAGTGATGCTTCGCTCTTAAATTTAGTTTAAGTTATCTTATTTGATGTTATTCCTATGCCTATTGGTCAAAATGGGAAATAGTGGTCTCATTAAATGGCAGCTGAAGAGAATGGAAGAGTTAAAAAACTGGTGTTTTTTAATTGTTCGGTCCAACCGAATTCTGGCATTGGTTAGTTGTGGAGGCTTGAGCAAACTACTGGACTACTTCCGGCATGAGTCGCCTCATCTGTAAAAACGGGGCTCAGTTAAGAAATTATCATCAGAACCACAACCAGATGTTTTCCAGTTTTCTTCCACCCATTTCATCCCCAGGACGGCCGCCCAGTTAGTGCCACTCATTCTGACCGCCCTCTGTGCCCCTCACAATGACAGCCACGTGATCCCGCCTCCCTCCCGCTGTGGCCCCGC